AGGAATTAGTCTTTCAGGTATCAAAATAATAGCATCAATCTGTCCACAAGCAAGTCAGTGATTCCAGTTTCATGTACTATTTTGTCCTTCAACATAGTTTAGTTTAGATCCCTGTTTTTCCATGGGTGGAAGGATTTCTTTTTGTGGAGCATAACTTTCTTATCTTTTGTCTCTGTTGGTAGCCGGAAATACCCCCTTAAATCTTGTTCCTGGGGTGTGGGGGAGAGAAAAAGCTCTTTACTAGAATTCAAGTTGCTGTGTTTCTGGAACCAGCCCCATAGCTAGGGACTTTTTTGGAAGGGGGCCATAAGGGGGTGGGCAGCTAATTTAATCAAAAGTTCTAGAGCAAGTGTGTGTGTGTGTGGGGGGTAATGCCCAGCAGCTGCAGGACTCACGTGTACACCAACCACTGGTCGGTGAGAATAAGTGGCGGGCTCCCTGAAGCCAACAAGATAGCTAGCAAGTATGGCTACATCAATATAGGTAACCCTCTGGCGGCGGCGGCAGGCCACGCGCTCTCTCGACCACTTTGCCGGGTGGGGGTGGTGGTCCAGGGAGGTGTTGGTAGCGGTTGTGGTGGGCATCCTCCTCCAGTCCCCCCCCCAGCATGTCACCTCCAGTCACAAAGGTCACGTAAGCTGGGAGTGCACACCGTGGGGGCAGCTCAGAGGGCAGGTAAAGGGCTGCCCCTCAGTGCCTCTGGCACGCACTCTCTGCGGCTCCCTTAGAAAAACACCTGCGGGGCTTGTTGGGGGGACTTGGGCGGCGGGGGGGAGGCAGGCAGTTTTTAAAGCAGGTGCATGCGGGCTGGAGTACAGAGACCGGTCCTGTGGTTAAGAGAGGGTGGATGGTGAGGAAGAGAAGCCGGCACGAGCCAGCGGCAATTTGGCTGAGTTTAAAGGGGAGGGGAGTGTCGGAGGGTAGCTCTGGGGACGAAGGATTCCACCTCTCTGGAGTGCCCAAGGAGCTCAGTTGTTGGGCAGCCAGGTTGGAGGCAGCGCAGCACACAGGTAGCGAGTTGCGGCACTTCGGGGACAGCCCGGGAGGGAGGTGGCCCAGAAGAAACGCGAGGGGGCCGGCCCCCAAATTAGCTAACGGCTTGTCTGGAACAGTGTGACATTCTCCCAACTGGCAGACCTATTGCACTAGGGAAGCTTTTATGGGCTATCACAAATATAATGGATACCTAGTGTTTGGAACTTTACCTGTAGAAGGTAAAGTGGCTAGTAGGGAGTTGCTACACAGATTCCTCCAACCTCCCCAATAGACAATTTACTGTATCTGTTTCAGGAGTCACTTGTCCTAATTGGTTCACTCCCAGAGCTAGTTAGCTGCAAATGTTACAGGCTCTTATGAATCAGCACAGACACCCGTATTAATACAGTCTGACGCTTCTCAGAATTATTCTCTAGAGCAATTAACTGATCCTAACCTAAAAGAATTAACACTTACTGGGAAGATACGAGGAAACTGCAACAAGAATTTCTGAAAGAAACAGAAGGCAAATACTGAAGTACTCTCTCTTTTCCCCTCACCTTTCTTGCTCAGTGACCCTTAAATTACTACATATGGTCACTCAGGATGCTAGGTGGAAATGAATAGCCTGTGATTTCAAGACTGAGTGATGGTGGTTATGGCCTTTATAGGAATACTGCAAAACAAGAATACAAATTGGTGAAATCAGGGAAGGTTTCCTTCAAACTATAGATTATGTGCCAGGTGGTTTTGTTATACCTTCAAAATGCATAAATATATTTTTAAATTGCTAACAATATGCTACCATTTATAGCATTCCAATAGCATTTTCCTTTCCTTTTGGAAAAAAAGTGCATATAATAAACTCTCCCTGTTGCCAATGCTTAGTTTGTCTTTAGCTTCAGCAAACGAACAAGGAATATTACCGGGTAGTAGAAAAGCACTAACAGGAGTTACTCAGTAGATATGTGTGATATAGATGCCATCTAACCAGAACTGTTTGCCAATGTTTCTCATCAAGCAACACTGTGACTGACATTTCTGTGGAGTGTTTCCACTTTATACCAGTCATTGCACTGTGAGTGGATTTGAGTGGCCTTCTGATTCTATATAATGATGGCTCCAGTTTCAAGAGCTATTTTATTTCATTCAGTACCTACTATAGCTTTGATTGTACCTGTTGACCAAGAAGTTAGGCTTCTCAGTCAGGGTAGAGTCAGAGGGTCAGTTTCCCCCTCTTGTTATGCCTAACAGTAAGGTGGCTGGGTTCCTATGTGGTTAATGAAACCTGCATAACTGGGCCATGCATAGAAAAAGCTAAAAGGTGCTCGGGTGTTTTGGGCTTTCTTGTGCAGTCCCATTAAAGTTTAAAGGGACTGCACAAGAAAGCCGGGAAATGGGGAGCAGTTTGTTCAGGGTTGGGCACCTCTTCAATATGGGAAGCCCCTGTCTGTCGCCTGGTGATCCAGGTGTGCCCAAGCACTCATCCACCTCCCTCGTCACCTGAGAAAGCCCCCCAGAACTCCCATCGAGAACCCACCCAGAAAGCCAGCGGTGAAAGGGCGGCCAGCTGAGGTAGTTGGCAGAGGAGACAGCTGCGGCGAGCTGTGCAGTGGCAGCAGGGCCGCCGTGGCAGTACAGCAGCCAGCCCCCCCCCCCCGGAGCCAAGGGTGGAGCTGGCACTGCAAGGAAAGAAGGCTGCTCCAGCCACAAGGGCTAATCTTTTCAGACACCTAATCTATAAGATTTCTTTAAACAGATGTTACTCAAGTAGAATGGGATCCTATGCTAGTTAGAATAAAACCTGTCTATGGTCACAGCAGACTTTCTGTGTTTCTTTTACTATGACAATTATCCTGCTAGCATGCTGTAGTCGTTAAGAGCAGCTGATTCTAATCTGGAGAAAAGGGGGGCTTCCCCCCCTTTTAAACTTTATTTAAATTTTGTTGGAGAAAAGGGTTTGATTCTCCACTCTTCCCACATGAAGCCTGCTGGGTGATATTGGGCCAGTCACAGTTCTCTTAGAATTCTCTCAGCCCCAACTGCCTCACAAGGTGCCTGTTGAATGATCTGAATGGAAGGCGACTGTAAGCTGCTCCGGAACTCCTTCTGGTAGTGAAGAGCAGGGTATAAAACCTATTATTATTATTATTATTATTATTATTATTATTATTATTATTATTATTTTTTTTATGCTGCTAGGTTTTTCTGCTTTTTATTCTACTACACATACCTCTGAAGATAAACTTGCCTGAAGAAGCAGTAGTGTCAACCACAAGCATGTAATCTACACACTTCAAATTCAAAAAAGTGACAAAATCAATAAACAAATGGAGCACTATTAAGTCAGAATAAAACCACCAGAAGCATTTTATTGTAATTATGCCAAAAGGTTTAATTTGGATTCAATTTGAATTTTATGCTTTTATTTAAAAGTATATATAAATTCAAGAATGTGAAATAAATCCACAAACACAAAAGAAGCATTGTTTTTGTGACACCAGAAAATTACATAACAAATAATTACATAATATCTCACTTACTATCTGAACAAGAATACAACAAAAAGGGAAAATGCATGAAGTCATTCTTCAAAAGCCTCCTATATAAAGTTTCTCCTTTAAGAAAATTATTTATCATTTGCAATCTAAATGAACACAAAGGACAGTATATGACATTCCAAAATTAGAAGATACAAGCTGAATTTCAGAATGCCGTAAATTTCATTCTATTTGAAACGGAAGAGATGTGCAGTATTCCCCACAGTTCAACCTTTAGAATTCCTGCAGTTGTTTCACTGTATAGGAAACTATCATTTCTTAAACGGTGACACAAGGCCGAAAGAATTATTTGCAGAAACAAGTATGCTTATTTGTATAAAGTTATTTTCAGAAATCAACTCAACATGCTCGTTAACAAACTAAAATGCTTCCTTTTAATGAAGCTGAATTTTCAGTCTGCCAGGCAAAACTTTAAATAGCAAACAAAGCAGGAAATCTAAATGATCCATAGATTGTATCCAATAAGATGTTTTCAACTGCATTGGAACCAGTGTTTCTGCAAATGGAGTGCGTTTAGGGAAGTGATTTTTAATCAAGTTCTTGATCCCCCAGAAGCCCTCTGAAAAGATGAAGCATGGAAACTGTACTATCCTGTTCAGGATAGCCCTCCAGTGCCTAGCGGTGACTTTATGGCATATGTAGGGCTGCTGGGACAAGAGGAAGCCAACAAAATTGTACCAGTAAATTCACTCTGCTCACAGAAAAATTAGATTCAACCTCTTATTTTAAAGTGGATGCCATCAAATTTGACTATTTGGTGGAGTTGGACTGACTTCCATCTACAGGTTGTGAGAACATACGAAAACGGATCTTATTTTGCTTTAAGAATTTTCCATTCTATATTGATATAACAACAGAAGTAAGTTTTGCAGGAATTTTGTCCATAAAGGAATGCTTTTGATTGGGCCCCAACAGATCATAAGTACTTTACAGCAGCAGTTTGTACAGCATATCTTGAACTCGATACTATTCCACTGATATTTTACACAAAATATTGAAATTATAAAGCTAGTGAAAGTTAGACTCTCCATCATGCAAAAAAGAAAAATAACCCCTGCAAACAATGTCATTAAATAGAAACAAAAATTGGCAGCTGGAACGAAGTAGTAAAGCAGTGTCAGTCCCCAAGCTTGCAACTCTATTGATTTGAAAAAGGAAGAATATTAATAGCAAGTATAGGAACCTTGCCTTGAGATAAATAAGAAACAGAATCCGTTTAAAGTGCACCTGCTAAACAAATCCTTTAAAAATGCTACCATTACAACTACTCAAACACGCAGTACTGGCTAACCTTTTTTTACATATTCTACTCTATTTAAGTACTAAATATAGCAGTTGAAACCTAAATTACAATCTTTTATATATGAAATATGCTTTCTGTACCATGAGCTTTAAAAAGAAACTAAATACTTTCCATAAATTGTGAAAAGTTGAGAAATCTTTATGAATATTACAGATTGGTGCCAAAGAAACAGCATTCAAGACCTTTAAAAAACCATTATAATCAACATTTTCTTTTTGTTAAGGCTCTGAGAGAAGCATCCACTTTTTTGAGAGCTTTTGGCAAGAGATATAAAAGAAAGTATAGCAGGGCTGTTTGACATTTCTGAATTTGAATGTTTATATTTAATTAAAGCCAGCTCATTCAGTGTCTGCACACAAAGTTATTGCACTCATCTATTCCTTGGAATACATTTACATCAAGACAGTAACAATGATTGCAACATAGGCATGGTAAAATAAGAAAGGGTTCTAGTTCAAATGTGAGATGAGAAACGTCTGCATGTTCAAAAACTTCCCTAAGAGAATTAATGCAGACAGATCCAATTGATGTCTCCACATATTTGTTCAATAGTTCACAGATACAAAATTTCACTAACGTCCATCAATACAAATTTGTCTGGGCAAAAAAGATTTATCATGCAAATTCTTAATTAGTGCTGCATACTGCTTTGGAATATATTTCTATAAGAGTTAAAAGAGCATCTTTTCCAAAAGGTAACGAAAAATGGATTTAAAACAGGAGTCTACTGCTGAATGCAAGTCCTTGTAGCGAAGTTAAGACAGATTATGTTTCATTCCATCACTGCACTTTAGTCTTAAGAGAAAGACTACTGGTATTTGTCCACCTATTTCTTAGTAAATGCTACATTTCAAGAATAATGGAACTATCAAGTCAGCATTATCACTTCTACTTAAAACAAGTTATTTTTCTCTATAGTACGTCAAGTAAGCTTTTAGTGATTCGGGAAGTGGTAAACTCATTATTCTTTCACGCAAGAGATTTCGAGGGGGTTCTTCAGGTTTCAAGACTTCACTATGATCTTTCTCTTCTTCTTCTTTGTTGTCTTCTTCCATCTTTTCATCTTCTTCACTATCTAATGGCTGAGGAATGAGCTGATTACCTACAAACACATAGGTGTTAATTCTGCGCCTACGGCATCTTCTGCGTTTACGTTTTGGTGGCGGCTTCTGAACAACACCTTTGGCTTGCATCTCCTCATTTATATAGTTTCTAAGAGTGCGTCTAATATAGATCCGAGCCAAGTCCTGTAGATTTCTAACAGCACAGGGGGCTGAAAAATGAAAAAAAAAAACCCATTATGATTAGCCTCTAGGTCAAGCATGAAGTTAGTATAAGCAATAATGTAAAAAGAAAAAAGTAAAATTTGAGCACTTTGAATTTAGTATTACTTTCAATGCTGATCTCATCAAATCTCGGAAGCTAAGCAGGGTCGACCCTGGAAGGGCAACCGCCAAGGAATATCAGGGTCAGGACACAGAGTCAGATAATATAAGCCACCTCTCTGAAATGTCCTAGCCCCACCAGGGATCACCAAAAGTCACCATGAATTTCAGGCTCACTAACATACACACATGCACCTGCACACACACACACACTAAACACTCACAAAAAAGAGAGGCAAGAACCACATACTATGAAATGCACAAGAGTACAAGTAACAGTGCTTAAACACCACAGTATCATCTACATTGACTAGTTCTACATGCCTAAACAATTTGAGACATCAAGTCTACTCTTTAATGAGGGGAAAAGTAAAAGAGGTTGGTATTTGTAAAAGCACATGACTAAACCCAAACATTGCAGCAAAGCCTACACTGGTCATGGGTTATATATAGTGCCAAGTGGGAAGAATAGGAAAATACTACCAGGAAGCTACAAATTCTTCCCAGGGTATCAGCAAAGCCTACAATAATCAGATCAGATCAGCAATACCAAGCATGCGAGATTTTCTTGAAACTATCTGTGAAGCACACTACAAAACCCTTATTCCTGTTCATAAACTTTATTCTCTCACCAAGCACTTGCCAAAGTAGAAGATAGTATCTTGCAATCCTACTGCTGTTCTGTTTGGCCCAGAGGAATAGCTAACTGGCCATTAAGTGCAGTTATATTCATCAGATATTCTGTGCTACAGCAGCATCTAGGTCATAATCATTTATGCCATAATCGTTCCTAGAAGATGTGTGAGGTAGTTGTCTGTATTTCCATGCAGTTTATGCATAAAATCTTCTTCCATCAGCTCCCAAGATTTATTTAGAACTTTTATATGCTGGCTCTCCAGAGACGTATGAATGCCTGAGTAAACTTCACAGTCATGGGATAAGAGGACAAGTTCACTTATGGATTAATAACTGGTTAAATAACAGGAAGCAAAGAGCAGGAAAATGTACAGTTCTCACAATGAAGTAAGCAGTGAGGTCCTACAAGGACTGGTATTGGGGCTAATTTATTCATCAATGTTCTTGAACTGGGGATGAGTAGTGTAGTGGCTAAATTTGCAAATGACACCAAATTATTCAGGATTGTGAAAACCAAGGCTAACTGTGAAGAGCTCCAAGAGAACCTCCACAAACTGGGTGAGTGGGTGACAATGAGGCAAATGAAGTTCAGTGTTGTTGGTAAGTGTAAAGCAATGCACATGGGGTTTGAACTTGCTGAAACTGAGAGGAAAAAAGATTTTGGGGTCGTGGTGGATAACTCAATGAAAGTGTCAACCCACTGTCCTGCAGCACTGAAAAGGTAAACTCTATGTCAGGGATTATTAGGAAAGGGATTCAGAATAAAATGGCTAATATTGTAATGCCCCTGTACAGATCTATGGTTTGGCCTCATTTGGAATACTGTGTACAGCTGCGGTCCCTGTATCTCAAAAAGGACATTGCATAGCTGCAAAGAAATGCAGAGGAGGGCATCCAAGATGATTAGTGGACTGGAGCACCTTCCCTATGAGGAAATGCTGAAGAGCCTGGGCCTTTTCAATTTAGAAAAAAGACAACTGGGGGGGGGACATGACAGAGGTTTATAAAATTATGCATGGGATGGAGAGAATAAGAAGAGGAAGAGATTGGATTTATACCCCTCCCTTCACTACCCAAAGGTGTCTCAGAGCGGCTTACAAACTCCTTTCCCTTCCCCTCCCCACAACAGACACCCTGTGAGGTAGGTGGGGCTGAGAGAGCTCTTTTCAAGAACTCTAGGACATCCAATGAAACTGATAGGCAGTAGGTTCAGGATGGACAGAAGGAAATACTACTTTACACAAAGAGTGATTAAATGTGGAATTAGCTGCCAGTGGATGTAGTGATGACCACTGGAATAAACAGCATTAAAGGGGGATTAGATAGATTCATGGAGGATCTATTAATGGCTACTAGCCATGGTGACTGAGGGTAACCTCCACATTCAAAGGCATTAAGCCTCTGAATCCCAGAGCCAGGGGACACCATCAGGGGAATGCCTCAACCACTATGCCCTGTTGTTGGCCATCCAGAGGAACTGGTTGACCACTGTGTGAGACAGGATGCTGGACTAGATGGACCACTGGTCTGATCCAGCAGGGATCTTCTCATGGTCATATGAAGCTGCCTCATATTGAATCAGACCCTTGGTCAATTAAGGTCAGTATTGTCTACTTAGATTGGCAGTGGCTCTCCAGGGCCGCAGGCAGAGGTCTTTCACATCACCTACTACCTGATCCTTCTAACTGGGGATGCCAGGGATTGAACCTGGGACCTTCTGTGTGCCAAGCAAATGCTTGATCACTGAGCCACAGTCCCCTCCCTGTAGTCATTTTTATTATGTGTGTTCTCTCCAGGATAACACAATAAAATGTTAAGAACAACTACCATAACATTATTAATATTAAACAAGACATAAAAAGCCAGTCAGCTATTTCTAACACGAGTGAGACATACATATTAATATTTAGTCAGAACTAAAGCTAGGGGACTTGTAGCATTGTTCCAGTTCTTAGCTAAGCTAGAACACCTTCCTGCTTGCAGATCCTGAGGTAAGCATCTGATCATGATTGGGGTATTACATGTTTTCATTGTTCTGGCTTTCTTTCAACTATTGCCACCGCACAGTCAGTTTAGGTTTGAAGAGGGGGATTTAAATAAAAAAAGTAAGTTCCTTCCAGGCAACAAGTTTGGTTGAAATCTTAGAAGCATGGTCAACCAGCTCAGGAAGGGAAACAAAAGATGCACTACAGCAGTTTCATTCATGTCTCTAGCAGTCACTTTTGAGGCCTTTGACTAGAAATGATTGGATGGCCTGCCTCCAATTTTAATATTATTCTGGGGATCAGCTCTGCCCTCCATTCACTCCCCAGTTTTTCAGTTTGCTCTGGAGAATGTATAACAGTAATTTCAAAACTGACACATGCAGTTTGCTCCAATTTGTAGTATGCATGCTTTCTCTCCCTTCCATTACAGGTTATGGATACATGTATGTGCATCATGCAAAAAGGAATACTGATGTAATTGTAATCTCTTCAAAAAAAATTGGACTAGTGTTGTATTCAATGCACATATATACTGATACACATCAGTAACCTATAAAGGGGAAAAAACAGTGGTAAGCTATATATGTGAACCATTCTGAACAGGATCTGGAAATCAGAAATAGAAGAGTGGTGCATTGATAATACTGTAGCCTGGATGCAAATTCAAACACAGTGAATTTTGTAAAAATCCCTACCTCTGGCAATTTGAAAAGAAGACAAAGAGCTGGTTCCCTGGGCTGCAAGTTCTACCCAATTGCTTACCACAAGAAAAATATTAATTACCTTTTACCAAGTGCCAGACACGTTGAATTCATATAACTTGTCTGCTAATGGAAGGAGAGGTATAATTTCTACCAAATTCCCCCTTTCTGCTGCAGATCCCCTCATACTATTCCTGAGTCCCCTGTCCCCCAGGAGTAGTATTTTGGGGAGAGCAACGGCCTGCAGTGGGGGAAAGTTCTGTTCTACTGACAGAAGGCTCATATCAGCAGAAACCATCTATTTATCATGCTATATGAAATATAATCTTTCTTTCTTGCTTTTCAACCAGAGTTTGCAGGAGGTCAATTTCATATATTGAAATAGGGAGAGACTGCAAATACAGTCTTGACGTTATTAATTTTTAAAAATAAAGGTCAGCAATAAAATAACATTCTTCATTGCCAATATGAAGGAAATGAGAGTAAAAATTAATATAATGGAGGTTAGAAGAGGATTTTGATAGGAAGAGCAGAGCACAAAAAGAAGGAAGACTAAAATGCCATAATTCATAGTATAACACATCAACTTGGAGATGCTTCTGGCTTGGATTCTGTGGAAAGTTTTGACTAAGGAGGGAATAGTTTAGGCCTATTCCATCCTCCAGCTCCAGACTTCATACTCCCTACATAATGCCGTTCCTGATAGCCCCCTAGAATTAGGGATCATTTTGGTCTGCTGCAAGAAGGAAGCAAGGAAGCCTTATTGCATGGAATTTACTGGGGGGTCCAAGCCAATCCCAGTAAATACTCAACCTTAATTAATATTTGTGCAACTATCTGTGTGTCTTTAACAAGTGAAATCATGGCCATCTATTATTTTCAGTGAAAAATTAAGAAATGAAATATAAAAGTAACAGACGAAGAAGAAGAGGAGAAGAGAAGAAGAGATTGGATTTATACCCCGCCCTTCACTTGGAGTCTCAGAGCAGCTTACAATCTCCTTTCCCTTCCCCTCCCCACAACAGACACCGTGTGAGGGAGGTGGGGCTGAGAGAACTCTGACAGAAACTGCTCTTTTCAAGAGCAGCTCTGACAGAACTATGGCTTGCCCAAGGTCATCCAGCAGCTGCAAGTGGAGGAGTGGTGAATCAAACCTGGTTCTCCCAGATTAGAGTCCGTGCACTTAACCACTACACCAAACTGGCTCTCATACATTGTCAAAGGAGGGTAAAGCAATGAAATGTGGTATAGCAGCACAATATCTAAAATGCAGTTTGTGTAGAAAGCAAGAATGCTGTACCAGGTTGGGGAAGGGGAGCTGTACACACATCCTTTTTCAACTGACTAGAGGTGCCACTAATGTTAATGACAAAAAGGAGCCATCAGAACTCAGCTGTTTAGGCATATTATATTTAGGCATATTGACATAAGTACCATTTCTAGCAGGCAGTTGCACTACCCACAAGGGAAAGGCACAGTGAATGGTACTTACGTAGTCCCACAGTTTCATTTTTGCTGTTATCACTCTTGCTTGGTTGCACAAGTGGAGCAAATGAAACAGCAAGGATATTTTTACTTTCCCAAGTATTTTGTCCAGTTCTTAGAATTTGCGTTAGCTGCATGGAATCATTGAAAATGATTAAACAGAATCACACAACGACTAAACAAACTATTTCCATCTATACCTGTTTAGGTTTGTCACACTATTATACTTCAGGTTTGGAGAAAAGATTTGTAAAATGGTGAACCATGTATATTACACTATGTTCAAAAAGATTGCATATCTTTGTTTCCTTTTAGAAACATTTACTAACTCTAAAAAATAATAGTGTAGCTTTGCTAACGGTATAAAAGTTTGCATTTTGAAATTATTTAATGTTAATGTAAACAAAGGCAACACAGTTACTTTTAACATGTTTTTACTAAAATCTGATGCATGCAAATCCATGAATAGCCCAGGGACAATTAGTACTTAATGCAAATAGTGATATTGATTTAGAGAATTTATATGCCACTTCTCCAGTGACCTGAAGTATAATATCCAGAACTGAAATATAAATAGCTGCATATCACAGATCAAAAGATAAACATTCATATTGCTACCTAAAGTGCACGAATTCTCTTAAAAGGGTTTCCTTTGGTACTTGCAATGGATAGAATTATAAGATCATGGTACAGCAATTTCCAGTTTTCATTTTATTCCTCAATAATGGAATAGCTATCTGAGAAATCATTGCTACCCCCCACCCCCATCTAGTTTTTTCCTTAAAAATGCTTTCTGGGTAGGCCATCAGTACAACTATATATTTCAACAGACCTTGCTTCAGTGCAGTGTTTTTTAATTTCAATTAACTGTCATCAGTGATTACTGAACAAAAGTGGTATGATGTAAACCTCTCAATTTAGAAAAAAAATATCATTCTATCCCAGTCACTAAAAATGGAACACAGTTTTCAATTGAGAAACTATACACCATTTGTATGACAATTTAATTGATGGTAATGCTTACAAAGTACTTTGTTTAGTTTTACAGCAAGGCAGGCTTATTAGGGATACAGTCAGCTTGAGCAAGTCATGTTTCAGTGTACCTAAGTTTCCCCATCTGTAAAATGGAGATAGTTATACTCACCGTAGAAAAGCCCTTTGAGATCTATGAATGAAAAATAAGTGCTAAGTATTATTGTATCACTCAAAGTTTCATGCTTCTCAAAACATTCTGTCCTTGTGACAATGAAAATGTATTGAAACCTGAGACAGAACATGTATCAATGTGCCTGTATACTTTAAGAACTAAATTTGACTTCTAATGTAAATATTTACCTTTAGTAATTTGATGTTTCCAGTATGTGGACTTTTTAGGGCCAATTCCCAAGTTACTCATGTAGTGTAGTTACCTTTTCCCTTGGCTAGACTCCTATATTGCTCCAGAAAGTGCTGAATAATGAAATTGTGTGGGAACTTCAAATATGATCCATCTGTTTCATGCAATTCTATTAGTCGAATCTTAAAGTACTGTGCATCCTGTCACAGGGACTACACTACTATAGATATCTCAAGTTAAGAAATTTGCTGTATAAAGAAAAAACTCATCACAGAGTAACAAATAGTAGTAGTACTGAAAAGGTAATACTCACTAATCAACCATACACTAAATCAGAGATCCCCAACATAAGAAAATAAGAGAAGCCAATGTTGGATCAGGTCAATGGCCCATCCAGTCCAACTCTCTGTCACACAGTGGCCAAATATATCAGGTGCCATCAGGAGGTCCACTAGTAGGGCCAGGACACTAGAAACCCTCCCACTGTTGCCCCCCCAAGCACCAAGCATGTGGTACATGCGGACACTATGGCACATGGTGACACCTTTCCTAGCACCCACCAAGTGATTTTTAGAAAGTGGATATGGCAAGAAGGGTCTTTTTTATTTTTGACATTTATGGTATAACATTGGAATGGCTTTATGTAAAGTACTTCACCCGTGAAAATAGAATTTTATTTCAAAAACACAGTGGGCTTTGATTCTGACTAAACATGACAGGGTTGCACAGCTAAAATGCTTAACCCACCCAAATGGAAATTCTATTATTAGTTCTTCCCAATTTGAATATATTTTTGATAATTCAGGTGAAGTTGTTAATAACATCACTACATAAAATGTCGGTCACTTTTCAAAATAATTCATGTTACTATCAAAATCTGTCTACATTCTTTCTCTTACTATACAGAAGTGCAAGGAGCTCTCACCAGCCCTTCTACATCAACTGTTGCAACTAGTAATAGTGGAGGTTAGAAATGGCTGGTCTCATGAGAGAAGGGCTCATTTGTGTAAAAAAGCAAGCTAGGAGAAGTAGGTTTTCCTTCTGCATAAATGTGTTAAAGGTAAAGGTAAAGGTCCCCTTGCTCGAAAGCCAGTCGAATCCGACTCTAGGGTTGCGGTGCTCATCTCCGTTTCAAAGCCGAAGAGCTAGTGCTGTCCGAAGACATTTCCGTGGTCATGTGGCCGGCATGACTAAACACCAAGGCGCACGGAACGCTGTTACCTTCCCACCGAAGTGGTACCTATTTATCTACTTGCAATTTCTTGCTTTCGAACTGCCTACAAAATGAAAAAAGATGCTGCCCAATAAGGATTTCTTACCTAGTTCAATATGTATAATTGAGTGTATGCAAGAAAATACTTCTAAACAATATAAATTTAAAAGCCATACCATTAAACACAGTTTCTGTTCGAGATGTTGAAGAGCTACTATCAGAGTTATGCATAACCTAACTCCCTGACATTTTGTGCATGGCCCCACCTTCCATGGCAGCCATTTTGTGATTACACCCACCTTCCTGTGTCAAAACTCCAAAATTCAGAATTCAGGCTCAAAAAAGTTGGGGATCTCTCCACTAAATCCTTACAAATGACTGTGCTTCAATATCAACTAATATTATCAAAGGTTTGTTAGTAAATCTACGATCTAAAAACACAGACACAATACTTAACTCACAGACTAGGCATAAGAGGTCAACTAATCTTTCAAAAACATTTCAAACGAGCTTATTTTTGGTCATATACTTTTGTTGCTTTACATGGTACAACATCATGATTACAGAACCAGGGGAAGGATTTGTCAAAACACACTGCACAAAATTTATTAAAGCAATGGCCCCCACTCTTTCTACTAAGCAATCCTAGGAATATCTCTGGAGATTACAGAACAAGGAATATTAGGCTATGTATGGCACAAAAATTGTATTTTGCCACTCTCTGGTTTAAGGTTTACAAAATACCTTTGTGGTCACTGTACTGAGGCAATTGATAAGACAAACATAATTCAGAAAAAACCTGTACACAAGTACTACATTTTAATTACATTAAAAAATATGCCAAGGAAAACCTTTTTTTAAAAAAAATCACCTGATCTTCCATGGGCATAACTAGAATGCCTCCAACTTTCAATAAGATTTTCATGTAGTTCTCATGGTCTTTCTGGACACCAGCTCCACAATAAATCCGGTCGTATTGATGACTGTCAGATGCTATCTGCAAACAGTTGCCAACTACGAAGGCAGGTTCACAAAATTCAAACCTGCAAAAGAACAAACATTTTGGATTTTTGAATCTATTGTGTTAGAAAAGCAGTGAACTGTGGTAGAATTTCAATGGGGTGTATCTGCAATCAAGAACACAATCTACATGATGTACTGCATTACAGTAGAATATGCTTAAATATTTGAAGCCATGTCTCTTCCAAGACATGGCTTCCCAGAGGGGGCAGGAGCAGCTGCAGCTATTAGTTGGTGGCTCCCACCCCCATATAAGGCAGGATGATGTTGGCTGGGCAGGAGCTGTAGTGAACCTGCTTTCTTCCTTCCACTTTGGGGTGGTGGTGGCTGGGTTGGGGTAGGCCCTTCTTCCCATCCTGCTCCATTGGGGGGATGGGGACTTTCCAGAGGTGTTTTTGCCTCCCAGTCCATCCCAAGGTTACTCAATGGTCTTGACAGTGAGCAGTGTAAAATTTACCAAAGTCATAATAAGTTTGAGACACACAATACAATATTCTGAAATCATTCAATTAAAATGTAACATTGACTACCAAAATAACATTTAAACTTAATTTATAAAATATCTGGAACACTCCTGTAGAGATGTGAAGGCACAGAAAAGTTCTGGGGAAAACATCTTTTTGCTGATAGAAATGTTGAGAAGCACTGAAAAATGATCCCCCCCCCCGAGCGAAACAAAAAACGAGGCTTTACTCAAAATGTGTAGTATGAAAACTGTTACATAAGACAATCTACAGTTATAGTAATTCTGATATGTACTGTAGACATATACTACACTTTCAAGAATTTTATTTTGTTTAAATGCAAACAATTTTGGTAATGGTTAATATGGTATAATGTGTTTAATGACAATACATTATTAATGACTTCAGTGTTTTCAATGTTATAAATTTATTTAATATCCAAATATGCTGGTAGCCCTAGGTATTGTGAGTGTCTGAGAGGCCTTCTGTTCAAATACTTTGTTTTGTTTACTACATAATTGGTACCTTCAGCTCTTATTTTTTCCTATCAGATGGAAAAAATTAAAGATACATGTACTATGGTAACAGTTTCCCACTTCTTCTCAGGTACCGGGTATACTTGTAATTTTTCTTGTAGAAAAACATGTTTATACTTTTAAATTCCACACACATGCCAACTAGTACAATTTTAAATGCAAACCTATAAATTATGCATTTAGTTTTGTTAAATCCATAAAAGAAGTCTAAGTTTGACAGGAAGGTAATTATTGCATATATTCCAATTTTCTCCAAAATTTCTTTTTTCCCTGGGAGGAAAATTGGGGGAAAATTCCAATTGACTCCTCCATCCCTCTGATTTTTAGATTATTTTGCCGGATTGTCATATCTGTATGAATTGCTTTTTCTGCCAGAATGTCCTCCAATTGATGGAGTTGCTGGATCTCTGTTTGGTTTGCGAGGCCAGTATTTAAAGCTTGCTCTCTGCCTTCGCTTTTGTTTCTGTCATCGCATTTTGCAGTTTTTCCATTTGATCATACAACGGTTTAATTAAAGAGGACATATTATCCAATATTGTTTTCTGCATGGTGGTGAAAGCCACGTTTAGATCAGCCTGGGCTATCAGCTTGTCGGAGCCTCCACCCCCGGTGGCCATTTTGACTGCAAGGTTGAACTGAGGGCCCGAGATTGTTTTTGCAGGGATTGAGGTGAGAATCGCTTGTACCTTTTGTATTTTTGCTCGATTCGTTTGACCGTCACTTTGGTCATCGTTTTCCATTAAGACTGGTTTAATTTGTGCTGTTCGATCTTTAATTAAAGCGGGGGGATGGCTGGGTAGAGCGGAGCAGCGGAACCAGGCAGCCATTCCCGTTTTGCGCCCCCTAGCGCCCCCCAGCTTTGTTGCTTCTGATGGTGAGCTCTGACTCATGAAAGCTATGCTGCACTACATTTTATTAGTCTATAATGTGTCACTGGACTTCTATTTTATTTCTCTGTAGAAATTATTTGACTGTCTATAGGCAGAAATGATAGATGCTGGGGTAGACAGCATGCAGAAGAAAGCAAGCTTACACCTTATTGATTATTTACTGCCTTTCAGATTTTTATTAGTAAACCTATCTGCTAGGATGCACATTAAGAGGAAAGAAAAGTTTACTCAGCATTACGTTAACACAAAGTGCTGAAGTTGGAAGCGGCTAATAGTAAACACCTAATTTGTACTTAACATTGAAGCTTCAGGGACAAAAATTCTGCAGAGGAAAAATCAGCAAATTCATTCAAGGAAATTATTTTATGGCTTTATTTACATGGCTCCATAACTTATCTGATCAACAGCTGCACAGAGAAGTAGAGTTATACCTCCACAATTAAAAGGCTTCAGTTTAGAAGACTATCTATGTCTCTTTGGTGAAGCTCTTGGCTTCTGCTTTAGTTATAACAATTGTATAGTGTAAAACAAAAAGAACATAAGATTATAAGAGAAGCCAATGTTGGATCAGGCCAATGGCCCATCTAGTCCAACATTCTGCCACACAGTGGCCAAAAATACCAGGTGCCATCAGGAGGTCCAGCAGTGTGTGGGGGGGAATAGAAGCCCTCCCACTGTTGCATCCCCAAGCACCAAGAATACAGTGCATCACTTGCCGCAGCCTGAGAGCTCCTGTCTATACCTTGTGGCTAAACCACTGATGGATTTCTGCTCCATAAGCTTATCTTATTCCCTTTTGAAGCTGTCCATGCTTGTAGCTGCCACCACCTCCTGTGGCAGTGAATTCAATGTGTTAATCACTCTTTAGGTGAAGAAGTACTTCCTTTTATCTGTTCTAACCCAACTGCTCAACAATTTCATTAAGTGCCCACGAGTTCTTGTATTGTGAGAAAGGGAGAAAAGTACTTCTTTCTTGACCTGCTCTATCCTATGCATAATTTTATAAACCTCGATCATGTCACCCCTCAGCCGTTGTTTCTCCAAGCTAAAGAGCCCAAAGCGTTTTAACCTGTCTTCATAGGGAAAATATTCCAACCCTTTTATCATTCTAGTTGCCCTTTTCTGCACTTTTTCCAATGCTATAATATCCTTTTTGAGGTGTGGTGACCAGAACTGTACACAGTACTACAAATGAGGTTGCACCATTGATTTATACAGGGGCATTATGATACTGACTGATTTGTTTGCAATTCCCTTCCTAATAATCCGCAGCATAGCGTTGGCCTTTTTTATTGCAGTTGCACACTGTCTCAACATTTTCATTGAGCTATCTACTATGACTCCAAGATCTCTCTCTTGGTCAGTCTCTGCCAGTTCATACCCCATCAATGTGTATTTATATTTAGGATTTTTGGCTCCAATGTGCATCGCTTTGCACTTGGCCACATTGACGCCCACTTGCCCATCCTCAACAGATCCCTTTGGAGTGCCTCACAATGCTCCCTGGTTCTCACCACCCTGAACAACTTCGTGTCATCTGCAAATTTAGCCACTTCACTGCTTACTCCCAACTCCAAATCATTAATGAACAAGTTAAAAAGCATCGGATTGAGTACTGATCCCTGTGATACCCCACTGCTTACCACCCGCCACTGAGAAAATTGTCCATTTATACTTACTCTCTGTTTCCTATTAATTAACCAGTTTTTGATCCACAAGAGGACTTGTTCTTTTATCCCATGAGTAATGAGTTTACTTAGGAGCCTTTGATGAGGAACTTTATCAAAAGCTTTCTGGAAGTCAAGGTAAACAACATCTATTGGGTCCCCCTTGTCCACATGTTTGTTCATTCCCTCAAAAAACACGAACAGGTTAGTGAGACAAGATCTTCCCTTACAGAACCCATGCTGAGTCTGCCTAAATAGTTTTTGTTCATCAATGTGTCCACTAATTCTTTCCTTCATAACAGTTTCCATGGTGACGGTCATATGGCTAGGTGGTTTGCTCCATAAAGTTGGAGAATAAACATAAGACCTCCAACATTGGCCAGAGAGGCAGCTGACAGTGAAGTGCGGAAACAGGCAGGACCAATGATAGAAAAGACAACACAGCTTGTTGCAGGACCTCAGAACTAATTGAGTGCAGCAACACCAGCAAAATAATCTCTTTCTCATCTCCATTTGTAATTTGTCAGAAATTTAATGCTGTAAAATTCTTCTCTCCAATAGTCCACAAATGCAGAACACTCATTTTTCATGGTGCTCATATAAACAGCTATCTTTTGTTTATTAAGCATATAGTAGAGACTTGGCAGTACAGTCCTAAACAGAGTTACATCCTTCTAAGTCCAGTGAAGAAACTGTTTAGAATTGCACTGTAAGTGGTTGTTTTGATAACTGGCTACAGAGGAGTGACAGGTATCCAAGACCACTTCAGATTATTTACAAATGTTGTTGAATTTCAGTGTTGATTTAAGCTCTTATTGTCAACCTAAAGCTGCCTTTGTAAGCTGCTTTGAGCCCATGGAGAAAGGTGTTTTAATAAATAAATGAATAAGTTAAGTTCTTGCTACATTGTTCTTGAAATGGCTTGGATGTGTTTCATGGTAGAGTATGCCATACTATGAATATGACACTTACAATGTACTCTTACATAACCATTAGATTGCCCTTATGCCAGAACTTATTCCTTTATGTTGTTCAGTCACACGGTCGAGTCCGACTCTTCGTGACCTTATTCCTACTTGGTGCTTTTTGAAGTATTTAATATTTTACCTAGTTTTACAACAATATGAATGAATATGCTTTAATATTAAACACTAATTTGTTTTCCCCAGTTTTTCCATTGTGATGTAACCACCAATTAGCTTCTCTCCTATCGAAACAGATCAGATCAGCAATAGTTACTTTGGTATGCCTTAATAATTCCTACTTAAAAAATTCCATAGTTCAAATGTTAGAACCCTTTGTTTATCCAAACAAAGCATTTTTGTTTTATATTGTTTCAACAAGAAATTAAATTGGAAAGATATTCAATGGCATCCTAAGCAGCCCAGATTCTAAACCCAAGCCTTATGTCCTTTTTAAAAAAAATGGATAGCAACATCATAAGAATCTAAACGAATCATCAACAG